AGTTTGTTTCCTGTGGTGGGCCCCACACATAGGGCCTCACTTCTCAGGAAAATGCTGGGCGGTGTCACAGCCAAATCTGAGAAATCAGATGACTCTGGTTCGATAACCATTTTCTCCTTTTTTTGGGCATTGTTTGAAAGCATTTTTCACCATGTTTGAAGTGAGATGTTGGTCGATCAGTGGCGTGCCGGCAGTTTCTTTTTTTTTTTTTAATGGTCTCTCTTTGTCTATTGATCATGCATGGTTTACAAAAACCATATTTCTCAGTGAGGATCCTATACGGCTGGCTAGACACAGTTTTTTAACTTTTTTTTTCTTTTTTTCCCTGAATTTGCCAATTTGGACCATTTGCTCCATTTCTCTATTTATGTGTATCATCCTTGTGCAGGGGCCATGCTAATCTTTCTTTGTATCTTTCCAAATTTTAACGGATGACAGTCGGATGTCCTATATGGCTTTCTTGGCACGTAGTTAGTTAATTTGTGGAGTAATCAGAATTCGGAGGTGCCCATAGATTCACCAGTCAGGACCCTTTGTTTGGGGGGAGGGGGATGTTCTGTACCCTTGGGTTTTTTAATCTTCTGGGTCTCACAGCCCCATAAAAGGCAGTCCACAATGAGTGTCTCAGTGGGGTAGTGCATAACCGGTATCGGTTCTAAAACCCAGGCCATCAAAGGACTACTGTGCTTGGGAAACAGGAGTCAAGGAGCTAGGTTCATTCCAGGCATTCATGTCATGAGGTGCCAGGCTCTAAACATGCTATGCCTGTGCTTGAGACACATGAATCTGGACCTGGTTCATCGAAAATAGAGCACTGGTGTGGCCCAGCCCTTTGCCGAGGGGAGAAACATGCAAATTCATGCATGATTGTCAAGATACGATCAGGCACTGCAACTGCTACTTACTGGGTCCTCGTCCTCTATCATGTCAATGGCATCGGCCTTGGCGCCTGCTGCATTTGTCTCGTTCGACATCACAAGCTCCTTAGCAATGCTTTCCAGTACCATAGACACAAGTTGTGCAAGGTAGTTCATTCCCGCTGACAGCCTTGCCAATTGGATTTGGGCGTCTCCACTGGTAGCTGCTGGATCCTGTCGCAAACTGTCTACCTGGATGGCTTTTAGCTCTGTCTGCATCCACTCCACGATGAATTGCAACAGACGAAACAAAGGCCGAACAAGGAGTACCCTGATTCACCAGGGAGACGAGATTTGTCAGAACAGGCGGTGTACATAACACGATTCAGAAATCAAAACACGGTTCCAAACCTTTGGGATTTGCAGAACTTGACTTTCAACTGTATCACCGCAAATAACTTCGTAACAAAACAACCGATCCCAGAAACTACCACCAACACTACAAACCAGACAGCTTAACACGATGGCTGGGGCAAATTTGTAAATACATTTTTTACAAGTCCACACTGTCCAAGGATCGAACACGTGACCTCCCTATCCGGAGGTAAACACTCAACCAAACGGTAAAGTGGACCGGGGTGAAAGTTAAGCCCCAAGATGAGCACTTAACCCCACCCCAACACGGGTACTCGTTTTTCCCCGTGATCCGGTGTACCCGGTCACACACATGCACAATCGAAGTAGACATAGCCACCACACAATGAAGACAAATTTGCACACCAGCCGAAGCTAATGGCACCACCCGATCGTGCCCAAGCCACTGCAAGGTCGATCGAGTGGTTCTAATGCATTTGTAAATACATTTTTTACAAGTACGCACTGTCCCCGATCGTGCCCAAGCCTTAACACAATGCTTTGAACAGCATGGTCCGAGCGAGGTTACCTGATACTTGACACAATGGTTCTGGAAAACGTAACACAATGATAACACAACAGTCTAAGGCAGCTTAACCAAAATGTTGATTAAAATGGCTTTACACAACTTTTCCTCAGCACAATAAGGCAGCTTAACAAAATGTTTAACAAAATGGCTTGTGCAAAGCACTAGTACCTCCGCCAGTGTTGGGAAAAGAGAGAAAACTGGCAGCTTTCCCAAAATCCTAAGAAATTGGAGGCCGGTCCCGACGACGGCTGCCATTGATAATTCTCATCGGCGGCCGTCGTTTCATTTCCGCCGTCCTAAAAGGTTGGAGGCCCACCCGACGCCCGCTATTTTCCGACTCGGCAAAGGTACTAGTAGTTTAAACCACCACTACATCCGATCCTGTTTTTGCCAAACCTGAATTTCACTGCGCAGCAAGTTTTGCCGAGCCAGGGTCCCATTGTATTTTCTTTTCTAGTACTCACGGCAGTTGTATCCAAAAAGACCAAGAAAAAAAAAATGGAAGAATAAGAAAAGAAAGACAACTTCTCTATGGCCATGATAACCATCAGATATATTCTATCAGGTGCTAGTGTGACTGGCCCTCAGTGAGGGCCTCTGTCCGCTGAACAACAAATGAAGAACAAAATTTGAAAAAAACAAAAAACACATCCCGCATGCTGTGATCGCGGTCCGGTACATGATGCTACAGTACTACTGTGAGTATGAGGTGAGTGAGGCAGTCAGTTGCCCTGTGTAGAATNGGGGAAGGGGGGGGGGGAACAAAAACAATAGCAATCACGTTCCACGCATAGTTCCAGATACATTCCTCAAAACACTGGTGAGCCTTCCACTCCTGCGAGGACCTCTTCCCCGTCGTCACTGGATTTTATTTTATTTTTGTTTTCCCCTCACCGAGGGCCCACAGGGTCCCAATCTTTTCTTCCTTTTTCCCTTTCCTGCAGAGCCTTCGCCGGACCCCCGAACTTTTCAGATGAGGTCATTCTCCCAAATAGGACTACAGCTGTGAAAGTGGTGGTTTAACACAGTGGTTTACACAAGCTTACCTTAGCACAATACTGAGCATAACGGTTTACGCAAGCTTGGCTTGACACAATGCTTTTCTTTTACGCAAGCTTAACACAAGGGGGTTTCTGCAAGCAATGGTTTAGTCAAATTGAAATACAATGTTTAATATAACAATTCACAAAAGTGCGCGGACAGTGCCTCTATGAGCCCCATAAGGCCCCCTTTTTGCAGCCCGTCGGCCGCCCTAAGTGAAGGCAGGCTCGACGAGGCCTTCAGGGCCCCTTTTTTTTGGCCACCACGCAACTCAGGGAAATTCAGGCAGCTGCGCAGCGCCAGTTGGTTGAGTGAACCCGGGCCCTGGGCCGCCTGTGTGAATGTATGTGAAGCATGCCCTGGGCTGGATGCGGGAACCGGGCCAAACACAGGCCGAAGGCAGTTGGGCACATGCAACCACTTCAGTCCCAAGGCCTGCTCTCGTCGTGCTGGGCCTCAGGCTACCGGGGCCTACTGGAAGCTTCCTAGGACTGGACGCAGGCAGGCCACTTCGATATAGGAAAGGGCCTGCCTCCTCATTCGGTATTCGGGTGCTGGATGCATGCTGCGCAAGCACTGCTGCTGCGCTATTTGCTGGCTGGCGCCTACGCTCTCACGGGCGAGCAGTGAAGGAGCACGCAGCCATAGTCGAGCTGCGCTGCTGTAAGCTGGGTGAGGCGCAGGGTGGTCCTTGTGTGTTAGTGGCATCTGTGAGTTGGGGAACGAGGTTGTGAGTGTAGCGCGAGACATACCTGGTGCTGGAAGCGTGCGACATTGGTCGCCATATGCTCGTACTTCGGGAATGCTGTTGACGTCATCTTTCGGCTTCGTAGTATAGGCTAGATAGGATCTGCCACATGTAGCCTGGGCGCCGAGCGCCAGATAGGATATCAACTCTGGTTCTTCGTTGATGATGATGGGACTATTTCAACATTGTCAATTATGAACTCTTGGTGTGTTCTTATTTGGTGAATCTCGTGATGCAATTCTGCTGTTGGTTCGAGGTCAAGACTATCTGGACTCATATGTATGAGGCTGTTTGATTGCTGAAGTTCGCTATTGCTCATCTTCCTTGCAAAAGCTTAACCCAATGCTTACCGGAGGAGAGAAGGTGAAGGTTAAAGAGGAGAGAGACAAGGAATGGATTAGGCAAACTCGACACAATGTTTAATGCCGCGCAATGCCTTGGTTAGAGGAGTAGTTGAGGGTATAAGAAGAGAGAGACAAGCAATGCCTCGCTTAGAGGAGTAGTTGAGGGTATAAGGCTGGACCCGCTTTCCAGCAGGTGATGCTCCCCACCAATAGACTGGACCACCCAGGACTCTTGCTCGGAGGGAGTGCTCGTACCACCTCTCCTAGCAAAGACACTTTATTTTTCAAAAAAAAAAAAAAAGACGAGAGAGACGAGCAATGGTTTAGGTGAGCTCAACACAATGTTTAATACAATGACTTGCAAAAGATTAACACAATGCTTTACCTAGCAAAGTAGTTGGAGGTTTAAGAGTAGAGAGCAGAAAGCGGTGAAGCACACACCTTTTCCGAATGTCTGACTTCCACTGAAGTACCTCCAGCAAGGATGTAGCCAGGCGTAGGCCTCCCGTGCCTACAGGAGATGCTTTTGGCTCTACCTTCTCTGTTTCCATAATCTCAGCAACTTCGGCTTTCAGCCGCTTCTTTTTCTTCTTCTCTGATACGATTTCCGTTGTTATCGAATGCCTTAACGATTTGTCCGGGATGCAATTGGCCAACCTCTGAGAGGTAAGGCTTTCTAGAAGCCGAAAAGCCGTGACAGAAGAAACCTGTAAAGACAGGCGAGCAAATCCAGATGCAATGGTGGCCCAGCAGCAAGATAAGGACAGAAACAATCAACCCAAAGAAATACATTCACTTCGCCGAGGAACAAGCTTTAAATGCCAGGCTAGAAATCCCCCTCAACCAAACATGCAGAAGTCTATGGGGGCTCGATATCTGGTCTTGCTGACAAACAATTTAGTCCGTTCCACAATTTCCACTTCAGGTTGTTGTTTTTTTTTTTTTTTTTTTTCGAGAGTTCTGCTTCACTTTGTCTCACGCTGCTTTGTCTTTCACGAATGATTCCAATGGCCAGATGTCAGCATGTTTTTTAATGGCTGTGAGGCACGATGCCAGCCTAACACCCAGCTACCCGTGCTCCCATGGATTCAATCAACCATGCTCGCCAGCATTACAAGTGTTGCTTACTGCCCAGCGTGGCAATTACCTGGGCAACAGACTGAATACAAGTCAAGCAACTTGCAGTGGACAAAACACCCCTTCTTCCAATCATCCTCTTGTTGCATAACACCCACTCTCCCAGCTACCACTCTACCCACTGTCAGACCTGATCCAACACCATGAAGAAGAAAAAGAGTCAAAAGACACAACAAACATGACAGCAGTCAAGCGAGAACAATTGGGAATTACCCAGGTGTGCACTAATTTACTAGGCTGTTTTTCCAGGTGCCCGGGCACCCAACTTATGCCCGGGCACCCATGCCCAGCCCAGCATGACCCCCAAGCAGGGTTCCGGGCAACCCCAGTGCAAAAAAAATAGGGAAAAAAAAAAAAAATTCCGGAAAAAAATATGTTGTCACAAAAAGGAGTGGCCCGGGTCCACTTGCGCGGCCAGGCCAAAAAGGAATTAAAAAATAAAAAATATAAATTATTTTTCTATTTAAAATTTTATTTTAAATTTGGTACTGTAATGACCCGTCAAAACACAGACTGAGAACACTGAAGTTCTGGCGATGGAATGGATGCGTTGCTGAGATTCCCGCATTCTGCTGTGTTTTCTAAGTCTGTCTGTGTGTGCGTGCTTGTGACCTGCGTGCCTGTCTGAGTGCTTGTCGGTATGAGTGTGTGTGTGACCCGCAAGGGTACTTGCTTGTTAAACGGGCCCGTAGGGCCGGTACTTACCTGTGGCCGTGGCATTGAGGGTTGCAGCAGGGAAAACACTCGAGTAGCGGAGCCAGGGGCCGCGGTGCTTAGAGCAGCGGAAAAACACTCAAGTAGCAGGTAGACCGGTAGCGCACCCAGTAGCGGTAGATGTGCCAGGTACTCGACGCCGAGCAGAAAAAGACAAAGTTGATATTTTTAGAGGCCCAGTAGCGGTAGGCTAGGTCTAGGCCGGTACCAGTCCATCCAGTCTGAGTCTAGAGCCTGTACGGGCAATATCAGAGTCTGCAATGATGTTTCCCTCCGAAAGGGAGGAGGTACCGGTCGCTTGGGAGGCCGAGCGGCCTGGAAGTCACCGCCCAAGAGGCAAGCAGGACGCTATATCAAGAGGCTGAGGCAAGAGCTCAGCCTCATTCTTCAGTGTGCAAGTTTGGCGACACGCTGCTGGACTGCTGGCTGGAGTAGCGCTGGGTATTACAGCGCTGCTGGGAGGAAGAAGCCGGGAGCTTCCACCTTGGCTATGGTGGAGCTCTACCGGTAGGAGGAGAAGGGAGAAGGGGACCAAGGAGGAGAGTGGCGGGGCACTTACTGGCTATGGTAGACACCATCTTCATCTCCTTGCTAGGCGCTGCATCAGGAAGGCCCCAGTGGGGGTAGCGCCGCATCAAGGAAGCTCGGGACAGAGTCAGGCATGGTGGCTGAGTGGGCAGCGGCATAGCTGCTTTGGGTTGTCCTTTGGACAGGAGGCTGAAGCCTCAGTAGTCCGCCATAGCCTCGGCCTGTATGTAGAGAAAGAGGAAGGGTGGTCTATGCTGGAGTACATCTTCTTCTTCTTCATCTCACTTCTTCTTCTTCTTCTTTCCCTCTCCTTCCTCTCAAGTTCATTCATTTCTTTTTGCAATTGGATGGCATTGTACTTTCAGATGAATGTATACTTCTAAATGGGCCAGGACCGTAACAGTACAGAATTTCAATGTGACCCTGAGGCAAAAGTTGTTCAATTTATTTTTCTGCGTAACATAGTCTTCTTTTCGGATTTTTTGGATTTTTTGTTATGCAGAAAAATAAATTGAACAAGTTTTGCCTCAGGGTCACATAGTTTTTTTTCGGATTTTTTGGATTTTTTTTTATTTTTTTTTGGCCAGGACCTTCCCTGGTCCTTGCACAGCCGGACTGCCCGGGAAAATAGGGTGACCCAAGCGGCCCGGCTGGTAGCCTAGTGTTGTGTAGAATTGCAATACAAACGACCTTTGTCTGAGGGTCACATTAAAATTCCTCATGGAATCGGAGATAAAAAAGAAAATAACAGAATCACAGTAAGTCACCCCCCTTTAAACTCCTTTAGCCCCTTTAAAACCAATTTATACCCCCCTCCCCCCCGCCCTTGAAAGCTAACTCGCAAAAAAAGAAATGAGCCCGGATTTGGGGTCCTCTGGGAGAACGCAGAAAAGCAACAAAAAAAAACTTAAAAAAAGTCTTTTTTGAATTTTTTTCTTTTTTTTTTTTGCTTGCCCAGCAGGGTTGCATGCCTGTCGACCGCCGACCGTATTGCCGCCGACCGTATTGCCGCCGACCAGTAGGGCCGACCAGTCGGCGGTCTGCCGACCAGTCAGAAAACAACCGCCCACTGATTTTTTCTCAAATCTGAGTTGGGGGGCCACTGAGAAACGTTTGGGGATGGGGGGGGTATAGGGGGGGTATAGGGCGGTATACGGGTGATATAGGGGGCATTGGGGGGGGGTAATGAGGGTGTTGAGGCGGTTTGGGGGKGTKGGGGGGSGTGTATGGGGGTATTGCGGGCCGCTATGGGGGTGCTGGTGGTGTTATTAGGGGTTCTGGACCCCCCAAAACAAAATTATTTTATTTATTTTTTTATTTTTTTGCGGGGTGCCGACGACCCCCGACCGGTAGGTGCCGACCTGCCGACCGGTCGGCGGGTCGGCAGCCGACCAGTCAAGGGCCGCCGACCGTCGAGGTGTGCAACACTGACGCCCGGTTACCCCGGGCATCACGCCCGGGTGCCCGCCCGGGCATAAAAATCTTCCTAGCTAATTTAGTAATTTCCCATCCATGTAATTCACCTTACCAGGTTACCAGTGCCATCTACTGCCTGCTGTGGCATCCACGGTATCAATGACCAGAACACATGCTTCCACCAATCCAATCAACCTCACTCACTAGGATTACGTCTGGTCCTGACTGCCCGGTGTCGGAACAATTACCCTTAATTGTTTGTGTTTTGACATTTCAGACGTGGACCAAATAGGTGACTGCCTAAGCGCCGTCAGGCGACACCGTGGCGGTGAGTTAGAGCTGATCGAGGTCTAGCGCTGCTGCGTCTTGTCCGGACGACGGTGGGGTCAATAACGAGGTCAAGCGCTGCTGCATCTTGTCCGGACGACGGTGGGGTTAATGGCGACCGTCTTGTTGACCACCATGCATTTCTTTTCTCGCTCATTTTCTTTTTCCTTTCTTTTTTTTTTTTTTTTTTTCATTTGATAAATATGGCTTTTGAGCTTGACGATTGTGCAAAGGTCCGCCCTTGCAAACAGTTTGCGTTGAGTATGGGCACGGTTGTGGCCCCGCCATGTAACGATAGAGGGGGGCGTTTGGGTGCGAGGGTGCGTCCCCAGTATGACTGTTGGTCCTGGACCAGCTGGCCTAACTCAAATGGCACGCCCCCCATACAGATCTGGATTTGAATTTCTCTGGCGGCAGACGAGTAGAATGCCGCCCTGTTGAATCACCAACGGGGTTGGCTCCGTTGGTACACTCACCAGTTGTTGAAGTACGGACCTGAGTTCGAACTCTAATGGAAGCAAGCGAGTAACATACTGTGTTTCTGAATTACCAAGAGCCGATAAGCCAGTACAGTCAAAGGCTAGGCTACTGAGTGGAAGCCGAAAGGCAGACGGGTGACCTTTGTTTCGTATACTATTAGGCTGAAGTGGATCACCTACACTTAGTCACCGCCAAAGCAGAAAGGTGGAGGGGCGACATATACCTATATTATTAAACCACTAGTAACTCCGCCAGTGTTGGGAAAATAGGGAAAGTGGCAGTTTTCCCAAACTCCTAAGAATTTGGAGGTCGGGCCCGACGACTTTTGCCATTGATAAATCTGATCGGCAGCCGTCGTTTCCTGTCGGCCTTTTTGAGGCTCACCCGAGGAGCGCTATTTTCCCACGCGCAAAGGCACTACTCGTTTAAAGTCTATAACAAAAGTTTTATACCCGGCTATCGCAAAAGTCGAGAGATGGATGGGTAGCCCATGTTTGGATTGGTCTGACTGGATCATGGCTTGCTTATTCCCTCTCAGGAGGCACACTGTAGAAGCCGAAAGGTGGATGAGTGAGTGTCTTTCATGCATACTCCTCCTTCTCGTGACACTTATCCTATTGACATAATCAGAGTCTAGGAAAAAGGAACTTCTCTACCTCATCATCTTGTTGGGTATGTTCTGGGTGTCTTTTCTTAGCTTGGTCGCATAGATGCTCGCCATGTGCTGGATCCCTACGTAGACTAAGGCTAGATGGTTGGGTTTAGGCTTGAAGTGGAAGTTGGATTCTGTCTTTCGCCTAGTATGGATCTTGGGATACCACTTTCCTATAGGAAAGTGTTGCCCAAACTCATACTAGATCGATGTCTTAGCCAACTCTCACTTAAGTCGAACTTTCTCTTCGCATTTTGGGTTTATTCATATTCTGGGAGCCTACTTCCCTAGGGGAAGTGCTGCCCAATTTTTCTCATCTTCCGGTAGATCCGAAGGTCTGCTTGAACCTCACATAGATAATCACACCGGTAGTAAGGGCGTTGCGATCGTATTGGCCTGTGTATATGTTACAGGTCATCTCCATCAAGGGATTGTTCTAGAGAGACTCTTTATGAGTCTATACGAGACTACATTCTGCTATCCTGAGATAGTAGGTCGGTTTGCCGGCTGAACCCTCACCTACGCTTTGATACCCTCACCCTAGAGCAAACCCTACAGGAAATGGCATTTCTGTTTTCAGGTCATCCTCTAAAAGGTCCATGTCAGTCTAAGAGGTCCTTGGGTGACTGAGTCGGATGGGAAGATTGACCAAAAGAAAAAGGATTGCTTGACTGTGGGAGGTTAGAGGCGTGTGCGGGACGAAGAGTGCGAGTGAACGAAGGGTTGACTCCTTGTGCATTGTGTGATGTCGTTTGATTGTGTCCACAGGTCAGTAAGGTTTCACTTTGATTCTGCTCAGTGGAAAGGACTTGCATCTGCTGTCATGAGAAGAGACCCATCAAGGCTTCAGCCGGGGTGTGATTTTGGTTTTTCTGTCTGATTGAGAGGCCAAAGGCCTATTGTTCTTTTATGTTCACTACTGGCCAAAGAGCCCATCTCCCTTGATACACGTTTAAGGCCATAGAGCCTATATGTTTTCTTGTTATTATTTTTAGTTTGCGTTAAATGCAATGACATCTCCTCGCCTTTTCTATCTGTCATGCGTCGGGCAAACCAGGTCCTCCGTAGGATGGGCGTGTGGCTTAGGCCCGAATCCCCGATGTTTAAGGTCTGTATCCGACTCACGTTGAGGGGATCGCTCTCCTATCGAGGCCTCGGTCGGTTACACATGGAGCGTCTTCGTCTCCTTGTCATATTTAAGGCTGTGCAGGTCAGTGCGAGCCTTAGCGTTAAGTACCACATCTGACCAAGGACCAGTTGAGTCGTTAGGCAGAGCTCACACGGCCCAACCTAGGAGTTCAGCGCCCTAAGCGATGAGTCGCGATCGAGCCAAGGGTCTGGACATATTACCGCGTGTTTCCTCTACGTTGCAGCGACTAAGGAATGCCGAAGGCTAGCCTACCTCTGGCACGGCATGTAAAAGCCGCTACATGTGGGTTAGTAGCTCTGCAGGGATACACCCACTTAAAGATGGTGACACCTCCTTAGGTGGAGGCAAGTTGTACCTCGCGGCGCCCTGTTCTGTTGCAGGGATCCACGAGAAGTATAGCTGGCACACTCGGCTGGAGCGGCACCCCGCTCTTGCATGTTTACGACATACCAAGACACGTCCTGTGTGACACGGCCGGGAGGACCCTCGTGCGTGTTGCTCTTTAGGTGTGCACCCGGGTCGATGCGTTCGACACCGGTTTTTGCAGCCACCATAGCAATTGACAACACATAACTTAAGCAGAGCCCGTTGAGCTGTAAATAATAAAGCTCTGTATAATAATCTCGCTAACCACCCAAGCGCAAGAGATGCTCTGACCAAACAAGCAATCACCAGACACTCCATCCTCCTGCAACCATTTTATTTCACAACGCAACATGCATTCTCCCGACCGCCCCTTCTCACCTTCTTCCATTGTCCCATCAAATACAAAACTGGCAAAGTCAAGATACAGGACGTGCAGCAAACACGGTGAGTCACTGACCCAACCACACGCTGTCCCACACGCACACAACACCACAACTCAGCACAGCAGAAACCCTCCGACCTGTAAATTGGCGCACTTGTTTTCGCACAGATTGCCACTGTGCCACTCTTTCTTGACGTTCTACGTTGTTGGTCAGTCGCTTTTCCTCCCGTGAGGCCAGTATTGTAGGCACACATCTAACAACCTGAAAGTCAGGGTTGCATACCCACCGCCCGCCTACCCCGACCGCCAACCGTATTGCAGCCGACCAGTACTGACTGGTCGGCGGTCTGCCGACCAGTAAGAAAACAGCCATCCACTTTTTTTTTTTTATCTGAGTTGGGGTCTGTACTGCGCTTGCTGAGTACAGCCCAAATTCGCTGAGAAACTTTTGGGGATGAGGGGTATGCGGGGGTTGGAGGGGAGTGTAGGGGTGGTATAGGGGGTATTGGGAGGGGTATGAGGGTGTTGGGGAGCGGTTTGGAGGTGTTGGAGGGGTGTGGGGTGGTATTGGGGGCGGGTATGGGGTGTTGGTGGGGTTATTAGGGGTTCTCGACCCAAAATAATAATAATTATAAAAAAATAAAAAATAAAAAAACTGGGGGGTGCCGAGGACTCCCGACAGGCAGGAGCCGACTAGCCAACCAGTCAGCTGCTCGGCATCCGACCTGTCAAGGGCTGCCAACCATCAGGATATGCAACACTGCAGAAGGGGAAGGAAAAATGAGCTCTGGTGCCAGAGAGGGACACATGAGTGACTGGCCAACTATACCAAAAGTGCCAAAACGTTGAAAAACATCGTATTTTTTTCTGTTTTGAGAAATAAGCTAGGCAGCAAGCCTGGTTCTCGAGCCTGAGAGCCCCGCCATGATACCGCCTGCACAAACATAGAAAGGGGGGAAGGGCACAACCACTGAAAAAAACAGAAAAAAATAGGAGGGAAGGGTGTCACATTGAACTTCTAAATAAAATCGAGGATAAAAAAATGCGATGGTAATGCATTGCTGCAAATCACTTCCTAAAAACCCTCATACACAGCCAGAAAAATGATCCTAAGATATCCAGGTGCAGACACCAGCCAGTGCAGACATCCAGCCAAATGCTATGAAGAAAACGCCAGTGCGGTTCCGAGGAAGTGAATCTCCCCCGGAGGTGCTCAAGCTATCCATATTACCCAGCACTAGCATGGCCATCGATTTTACTCGCCTGGACTCTGGACAAAGCACTCCGTGCTGCCGACTTCATTTCCTCAGATGTGTCACTTCCAATCAAGTTCACTAAGGTCGTGAACAACTCGTCCTGTTGACAGTACACAGGAAACAACAACAACTTCATTCAGCTTAAACTGGTCTGCACTCAAAACCATCTTTTGCTGAACCTTACACCCTATTGTTACAGACCTGAATACCTGCACGACAACAGTGTATCGAGCACTTCACAAATACTGACTCTGTCTGACACACAGTGTCCATAAGACGCGACTCCCGTTTTCCAGGTTCACCAACATTCCCCACAGAATCCTAAGCAGACTTTATAAAAGTCATTCAAAACAACAAGGATGGTAACCCGCTGGACATCCAGTATCGGGGTGTAGACGGACCGGATCCAGATGTCTGGGGCTGTTGTTCGGTCTAGTACGTTCAGATTGCCCCCCCCTCTAAATGATTTTTGGTAAAAACAAACAAAAGGGGCATCCCAGGACAATTTCCGGGTCCCAGGTGCCACCCCAAGAATCCTCCTGTCAATTTTCATGACTGGTAGGTCCGACCGGACAGGCCTGGACCCCATGCTTCTTCAGATTGGTGCCAATTCCAAAAATAGGCATTAGCTCAAGGAGGGAAACTTGAATTGGCAGGCAGCCAGTGTTAACACCCACTGTAGTGTTGCCGCCTCCTGTTACAGGGCATACTCACAGAAGGATGTATCTGGCGTCTGCATCATTCTTTGACATAGACATGTGCCTGACTGCCTGGCCTGGATGTGTCTGGACGCCTGTCGCCAGTGCATATGACCACTGCCACATTCTTCGAGATAGAAACACAACGAGGACGACGAACGGCGCTGAGCAGAAGGGCGAATGGGCTGGAGGAGGGGCGTTGAGAAGAGTGGAGAGGAGGGTGGGGGTTTGGGTGGACTCTCTCTCTCTCTCTCTCTGTGTGTGTGTGTGTGTGTGTGTGTGTGTGTGTGTTTGTGAGTGTGACACACACACATGCACACACAAACTTTTTAGAAGGTCCTTGAATCTTTTTTTTTTCCTTCGTTTTTCTGCAGCATGAGAGAAACACGGTGAGGATGACGGAGAGGAGGGACGGGGAGGAGGAGGAGGGGTGCCACTATGACAGTAGGAGGAGGAGGCATAGAGATGAGGAGGTGTTGGCTGCTCTCTCTCTCTCTCTCTCTCTCTCTCTCTCTCTCTCTCTCTCTCTCTCTCTCTCTCTCTCTCTCTCTCTCTCTCTCTCTCTCACTCACTCAAGTCTTGTTACGCTTGTCTCTAAGTTCTTTGTTGTTTTGTTGTGCCACGGAGGAGGAAGGACAGTGAGGAGGTCAAGGTAGAGGATGGACGAGGAGGAAGCAGAAAGACAGCGAGGAGGACAAGGTAGCGGATGGACGGGGAGGAGGGAATGCGATGAGGAGGAAGGACACTGCTTTGTGGGCGGGTGGAACAGGAGGAGAAGGGAGGATCTGTGAAGGTCTTGTATACTACAGTAATACATGTACTATATGTATGTCAATAATGTAGCCTAATATCTCTAACAATTATGCATAATAACTTAATAAGTGTGCGTTCTATATACATTGTCACATATCTATGAACTGAAAGAGCGCACTTTGAGAAACAAACAGTACAAATAAAAAAACAAACATGAAGGGCACACTGAAACCATTCATTTTTCTCATTCTTCTTTTAACTCCCCCTTCACTGTGCCTCTCATGTACAAGGCTCGCCATGTTGATGAAGTTGAGCGCGAGCTGCCTGCATCCCCATGTGCCATAACGGCCCAGTTGTACGCTGTGAGAAAGAGGCAGAGTAAGGGGGGAGGGGATAAACACAGGGAAGAGAAATCAAGAGAAGACAAACGAAGAACAACAAAGGGAAAGTAACGGAGAGCAAGGGAAAGTACGGAGTGTGGAATGACGACAAAGGGGAGGCTCAAGAATGAGTGTGTCCTTTACGACAGAGAAGACATACATTGTAAGGAATGAGCACTTGAAGACCTAGCTGAGCATTCTCAGTACAACAATTCCCATGATGGCTGGCATTGAGCATGTGCACCATACACCCCCTACAAATTGCATGTCTATTGCCAAAATGAAGGAAAAACGCTCAGTGTTGGTACGTTGTCCTGCTGCAGCACGGGGCCAAAGGAATGATCTTCGACATAAAAAAGATTGCGCACTAATTGGTGTGGCAAGAAAACATCATCGTGATGTAACAAACCAGTAACATCAGTCATGGCATGGACCATGATCCCGTTGTCCCACATATTATTATTATTTTAAGGATGCAGACATTTTCTGGGGTCCCAGTACCCCATCCGGACGGTCCCAGTACTGTTCACATGTCTCTTATCCTGCGTAGGACAAGAGTAAGGTTTTAGCTCTGCACCTTGAAAGTCCGCAGTCTGATAGTCCCAGGGGCACTGCCCCCAGTGAGTAGGCATGTAGTGGTCACTGTGCCCGACCTTTTTTTTCTATTTTGGCTCTGTATTTCCGGATGTCTGGATCCATCCACACGTATGTTTGGTTTTCTGTCTTGATCAGTCCAGTGTACGGGTCTATGGTTACCATGCGAAAATCGTAGTAAAAAGATAACAAATAAATTTGGAAAGACCTGGAATGCGCGGGTCGAAGCTTGTGTGAGAACGCACCTCCGCTTCACAGCTGAGCCCTGCGTAAAAGGCACTGGTGATGCAAGCAATCGCTGCAAGGCATGGTCTGGTAACCGCTGGGTCTGTGACTTGCCCACCCTCCACCTGAACACAGCCAAAGAGAATTATTCAATAGAGGTATCAGTACCATATTATATAACATTCAGGGAATATAAGAGGATTATTTTCAAGCCAGGCATGCAAGAAAAGTTGGCAGACCTTCCGCTAAACAAAATTAAATGAAAGGAATATGCAAAAAAAGGAAAAACAAAATCAGAAGGAAACCGGAATACCTGTTCAAATAACAGGAAAAAAAAGAGACTACAGGCAACGCCTATCGGTCAGGCCGGCCCATAGGCGGACTGCCTACCTGTGATGAGGCTGAGGCAGAGGCAAGGCAATGAGGCTAGGAGAGAGAGGGAGAGAGTGAGAGCACACACACACACACACTCAACTCGACGCAGACTCGACACGACTCAACGGACGCAGACACGAAGTGGCAAAGTCTCAAAGTCGAAGTCTTGGATTTCCGCACACAATGTCGAGGCAAGTCACACCGAAGCACAAGCACTGAGGCAGCAAACTGAATGCCCGTACTGGGCTTGGGTCCGATCTTAAGTATCGGACTCAAGTTCAGTCTGATGGGCAGAAGTGCAATTTGCCCAGGGCTGAACTGAAAATCGAAAGCTTGAAAATGGGCGCCAGAATGCCGGATGGCGCCAAGTGTCCCAAGTCAGAAAAATAAAATAAGAAAAACAAAGAAAAGAAAATGTGTGCAGTTAACTGCGGGTAGCGTCCCGCGGACCAGGGATCGAGCCCTGGTGTCGTCCGTAACACTAACGGTCTCCACACTGCCTTGCGCATTTTTTGTTTTTTTTCCCTGAGTATGTGGCTGTTCTGCACTTGAGCAGAACAGCCCAAATCCACAATAGGGAGTTTCAGGGGGTGTTTGAAGGGGCGTCGGGGGTTATTCAGGGGGTGTTTGGCGGGTTCTGTGGGGGAGGTTCAGGGGGTGTTTGGGGGGGTGTTCAGGGAGGCAGACAGGGGGTGTTTGCGGGGTTTGAGCACAGAAGTAAAGAGGGGGTTTTGGGGGGTTCGAGAAAATAAGTAAACAGGGGAACCAAAGCAGGGCTAGACACTGACCCTCTACAAAAGTGAGCGCAGCAAAATGGAGTGAAGTGCTTCTCTGCTCTCACTTTTGTGGAGCCTACGAAGCTTCCCGGGGCCCATCCTCTACTGAAAGTCGGTGGGCGAGGCCGGCGGCGCACGACGGGCAAAGTAGGACCCCCGCCAAGTTTTTTTCCCAACTGCGGGGTGCCTACCAGCCGCCTACCGGTCGGCGCCGGCAGCACCTACCGTAGGCTACCGTAGGCAGGTCCGCCGCCTACGGTCGGCCAGACTCCCCTGACATGAAACGATTATTTTTCAAGCCAGTCTCAACAACCAAAAATAAACTCCGCAAGAGTTCCTCAATGAAAAAGACCCAAAAAATAATAATAATAATAATAATAATAATAATAATAATAATAAGCCAGCCTTCGCAAGCACAAACAAAAGCTCAAAATTTATGCTCTGTCTAATGACCCAGAATGTGAGAAGGGTCAACAATTTTGCTACAAAAGTGACAAAAGCAAAAGAACTCTTGGCTGAACGGGATAAGTTCTACATGAGTAGTAGGGTCCATTTCGCATCTCACACTGATTAAACCACCACTACTTCCAAGCCTCTACTCCCGACACAGATTTCCACAGCGCGCTGAGTTACGTCAACCTGGCACGTGAGGCCAGCCTCTCCATGTCGGTGGGCTAACGTCCAAAAGTGTGGTGTGTTAACCACTGTGTAGAAACAGCGTACACAAGGATTTGCCCTTGGCCATGGTGGGCTACCATCTTTATCCCCATGCGTAATGCTGCATCAAGAACACCCTTAGGGTTCTTTGGCTGCAGAGGAGAGACAGGCAACTACTTTTGTGTCGTCGTCTTTTCAGCGCATTTGCATAAGTACTATTTCCAAACGGGATGAACAGGCGAGGACAAAAAGTCAGTCCAAACGGGATGTAGTAGTAGTCCATCCCATTCGGTACCACTTCTATGTCCCAAACGGGTGGTGCCACATCTATGTCCCAAATGGGTGGTGTCCCTTCTCTGTCCCAAATCTAGCAGGAAAACGATTGGAAAGTGGTGCCACTTCATAGCAGTGCCTGCAACATCTAGACCACGAAAAGAGATTCATTTCCTACGACTGGCGATAAGAAAATGATTACATCATTACACTAATAGAAAAAGAAGATCAAGAACAAGAAACAGGAAGAGAGAAAGCAACAATGAAAGGAACCCAAAAAAAAAAAAAAAAAAAAAAAAAAAAAANAAAAAAAAAAAAAAAAAAAAAAAGTCCTTAGGGACATCCCATAAAATTGGAACGATACAGAGAAGATTAGCATGGCCCCTATGCAAGGACATGTGTAAATCCAGAAATGGTCCATTTTTTTTGAGAAAGAAAAACAAAAGAAAAGTTCAGGCCTGCAATTCCGTACCTCGAGTGCTGGAAGGATTGTCCTCAAGGATGGTGACCCTGACGTGCTTGGAGGATTCGTTGTCAAAGCTGCGGCCACATCAGCATCTCTCAGCTGAAAATCAACCCGAAAAAAAGGAAAAAGAGAACAACAAATGTGCAAACCAACAGGACCACAGCATCAGAAATAAAACGGCCCAACCGGCAGCTTTCAATGAAAACAACTGAGAAGACAAGAGATTCTAAATGGAGGGTTAACAACTCAAAGGCAACACCAATGACTCAGTCAAATTGTCTGAGTTTATACTCACGCTAGGTGTTTTTCAACTGACCTCTGGACCTTGCAGCCAGATACATCCAGGCCTGGTTCTACTTGTGATCAGATGCATCCAAGACAGTCCTTGTGTGAGCATGCCCTTATTCCAGGCAATGGAACACAAGAGTAACACACACACACACACACACACACAAACACACACACACACATGCACACACATGCACGCACGCGCACACACACACACACACACACACACACACACACACACACACTCAGAGAGTCTTTGCGGTGGGTGTCACACCCACGGGCTGCCCTTTCGGATCTCAAAAAATTTGTTAAATACAAGAATCAATCAGTAGACATAGAAAATTCACATGTGATGATGATGATGTATGTCCAGTCTGCATTTCGACGTTGATTGGGTCTGATCATTGGTATTCTAGCCTCCGCTGTGCTATCCTGTTCTATCTGTGGGAGGTCGGTTCTTGGTTCTGGTCTGCACCATCTTGGTATGCGACAGCTCCACCAGCAAGAAAGCACCAAGCAGAGGCAGCATAGTCCGAAAAAACTTGGAGAGCCCTCCGAGTTAGCCCACAAGCACAGCAGCACTGGTACTGTATTCCTCCCAAACAACACACTCACGTCACCACTATCTCTATCACTCCGTGGCTAGACAGTCCTCGTCTTCTGTCTAGCCTCCGGAGTGTATAGAGTACCATAAACCCAAAGACCACAAGATCTTCACGTGACACCAGTAGGGCTACTGCTTAAACCCCCCTAGAAGTCCCCGTTTCTTCCATGTGCTCCAAAAGAGCAGCCCATGGGAATGGCACCCACAGCAAACACTCTCTGAGCCGCCTCGCCAGGAGGGGGAAGAGACGAAGGAGAAGGGGAAAGAGATGGGAATGTCGTCAACCCAAATGTCGCTGATATCAACCCTAAACAGTTCCCCTGATGGCTCTGCCCAGTGTCGAGTCCAAATCCCAAGTGTCGTTAATCTCTCTCTCTCTCTTTCTCTCTCTGTCTCTCTCTCTCTCTCTCTCTCTCTCTCTCTCTCTCTCTCTCTCTCTCTCTCTCTCTCTCTCTCTCTC